AATCCGCTCGTGATAAGGAGATTTTTTGTGATTGTAAAGATCTGTTCTATTTACCAGAAGGAAAAAAAAAAAAAAAATCTGTCCTTGATTGTTTCAGGTATTTTCGTTGCTTAAAAGCTTGGACTTTCCCGAGAAACAATCAGAAAGTCTTCAGCTTTTGTTTTCCCCTAAATCTCTCTGTTTCCCTCCATTTACTCTGTTAAACAGTCCGGTTTCGATTTTCTGACTTTTGAGGGGGAAAAAAAAAATGGGAGAACCGAGTTGAAAATTTCCTTTTTGTACTGGATCTTACTTAATATCTTGATCCGGAGTTCTGTTTGTGTTTGGATTGAAATCAGCCTGATCTCAAGGATTTATTTAAGATTAGTTAATTAAAAACAAACGTAACCGGAGTAGCATTTTTCAATAATGTTAGTTGAGACGTCAGGTTCTGCCTTGCAACTCCGAACCCACTCCGATAGACTTCCTTCACTCTGCAAATTTCCTTCGCTTTACAAATTTCCTTCACTTTACAAATTTCCTTCACTCCGCAAATCCTCCATTGCTTCTCAATGGAATGTCATCTCTTTAAACTGCGGGAAAACAAGGGCTGGACGATGTTTTGCTATGAAACAGTCGACGCTCCTGGGGAAGAAGGTGTTGCGTGGGTCTGGCGTTGTTGTCCGTTCCTCGTTGTCTGCGGTGCCGGAGAAGCCGCTCGGTCTCTACGACCCTTCATTCGATAAAGAATCTTGTGGGGTGGGATTCATTGCTGAATTATCCGGCGAAACCAGCCGCAAAACGGTATTCATCATTCAAGCATATATTATATCCAAATAGATGAATTTCAGTTCCCGTAATCAAAGGCTGTATTTCTGGTTTTATTAGATAAAGGATGCTTTGGAAATGTTAGTCCGGATGACCCACAGAGGTGCTTGTGGTTGTGAGACAAATACAGGGGATGGAGCGGGAATTCTTACGGCAATCCCTCATGAATTCTATCTGGAGGCATGTTTTCTTTTCTATGTTTTTCCTTTTTGGACTTTTTTCTTTTCTCTTTATTTAGAACAATGAAAAACTGTTTTGTATGTCAAACTGAACTGTAAAATAATTACCTTTGCATTGGGGGAAGGCTTGATATTGGGCCATTCTCTCCCATCCAAAGAACTTGATTTTACAGTCCAGTTTAAAAACCCTTAAAACCAAACCACTTTATTACACAAAAAGTCTTTTCTTTTCTTTCTTTCTTTTTTTTTTTTTTCTGATTAATTCTTGAATTTTGTTGGGGTGATTTATCAAACAAATGAATAATTTTTTAATTGGGAAAATGTTTTGTACTAAGAACTTGATCATGTTTATCTTGCCTGAGTCTTTCAATACTTATTTTCAGAGTGCTGAAAATTAAGTGCTAGATTAGGACCATCAAGTTCAAATTATTCTGTGTGTTGAACTTCATGATTGACTTACTGATCAGGTTACAAAAGATGTTGGTATTAGTCTACCACCAGCTGGGGAATATGCAGTTGGCATGTTCTTTTTGCCCACATCCGAGAGTAGAAGGGAAGAAAGCAAAAATGTTTTCACTAAGGTAATTTCTAGACTATGCATTTGTATAGTCTTTTTGAGTTGTTATGAGGTTGCTTCTTTCAGTTGTTATGGGGTAGATTTCATAACTGTGAGACGATTAATATGTCTAGCGAGTTCTTGGTTTGAATCAGTCATTTTGTTAATTACAACTAGTTACTAGTGTTCTTCTGATTTCCGGTTTCTAGCTAAAGCACTTAAATTTGGAGAAGACCTGCTTTCTACCTTGTATCCTCTTGTTTAAGAACATACATAATTTCAGTTTAATGAGTTCTCCGGCTAAACATAAGATGTTCATTGATTCATCCTGTCACAGTTTGTATAAGCAAATTTCATGGATTTGTTGTGAATTTCTTTCTCATTGTACCATCTCATGACATTCTGCTCCTTTCTGCATATCATATTACTCAACCCTCGCACATCCTTCACCGATGTTTCTTTAATACTCAGAGGCCTTTTTTTATGGAATAATATTTGGAGGTTGCTGATGTTAGCATTGATATCATATCTCAAATATTTTCAATACATTTTTGAGATTTGTTTTTAATATCTTGCAGGTTGCAGAGTCCCTTGGCCATAAAGTGCTTGGCTGGCGTGCTGTACCAACTGATAATACAGGATTGGGCGATAGTGCTTTGCAGACAGAGCCTATGATTGAGCAAGTGTTTATCTCTCCTTCCCCCATCTCCAAAGCTGATTTTGAGCAACAGGTAGATTAGGTTTTGGTGAAGTTAAAAGTATTGGAATTTAGTTTGTTTCGGAAAGAAAAAAAATACTGTTGTTTCTGCAATAATTTGGATTTTTTCTGAAAACAAATTAAAGAAGTATTCAGTATCACACGATTATTCTTGCTGTTGCACCAGTGATAATACTTTTAGGCACTTATGGGTAAATTTTTATCAGTTATGATGTTAGTTATTTCTTTTGATAATTTTGTGAAGATCTCTCTGTTGGACCGTTGAACTCTTTCACTTTGTTTTTGTTCAGTAATACTTGATTCTTGTTGAACTGCTTTATAGATGTACATATTAAGGAGGATTTCAATGGTTGCTATCCAATCTGCCTTAAATCTTCAACATGGTGGTTCCAGAGACTTTTATATATGTTCTCTTTCCTCAAGGTGTGTATAGTAAAATGTTGTGTCATATTATTAAGTGCCATACAAAAGTTATTAATACATCTTTACATGGTTTGTGCAGGACTGTTGTTTATAAAGGTCAGTTGAAACCTGATCAGTTGGAAGGTTACTATTATGCAGATCTTGGCAATGAAAGGTTTACGAGCTACATGGCCCTGGTAAATATATTATCCATTCACTTCGCTTCTTTCTCCACTAACTCAATACTTCAACAAACAGCATGGACATGGAACACCAGCAACCTAAGAGATGCAAGGTTGAGGGATTACTTCTGAGGCATTGAGGTTTGAATGATCTCTTAAGTTCTTCCACTCCCTTGTAAATGAATTTGGATGCTGGATTGGATGCCTTGGGTGAGTTGGTAGGAAACTTCATAGTCAAGTAATTCATGTTTGCCAAAACTTGCAATGCTCTGTTTGGTCAGTTGTTTGGGGATGAAACTTCTATTTACAGGTGGAAAAGAAACTGTGTTCGGTCTAGGTAGATTAAGGGCTTTGTTAGGCTGTGCAGTATGCCATTTAATTAGAAGACCTGAAGAGGTTCTCTTCAAAATATTCATAGACCAGATCCCATTTTCTGATCAGAGCTGGTGGAATTGCAAATGACGGTCGGTTCTTTTGATTGTTGATTTAGGTACACTCTCGGTTTTCTACAAATACATTTCCTAGCTGGGATCGTGCTCAACCATTGCGTATCTTGGGCCATAATGGGGAGATTAATACACTCAGAGGCAATGTAAACTGGTGGGTATCAGAGGTGTCTAAGTTCAGGATTATCATTGCCTTTTTTGTCCAACTTAATTTACTGTAACCTAACCAACTAATTTGCTGCCTTGCCATTTGTGATTTGCATTTTCATGTTTCATTCTTGCTTCACATAGGTACTAACATTTGTTTACATTATTGAAATTTTCTAGCAGCTCTTGTGCCAATGTAACACTTAAATGGAATGTAAGATCATATTTTCCTGTTTGTTTTGCAATTGCTGACTTTCTTCCTTGCATTTCCTTTTTTGAAAGGATGAAAGCACGAGAAGGTCTATTACAGTGCAAGGAGCTGGGCCTATCAAAGAGTGAATTGAAGAAGCTTCTTCCAATTGTGGATGCCACTTCATCTGATTCAGGTCTACTAATAAAAACAATATATGTTATATGTTTGCTCTCTCTCTCTCTCTCTCTCTCTCATATGTTAATTTTTATTACTTCCTTTCTCCCTTTTTTGTGGTCTCATTAGGAGCTTTTGATGGTGTCCTTGAGTTTCTGGTTCGAGCTGGTAGAAGTCTTCCTGAAGCTGTAATGATGATGATCCCAGAAGCATGGCAAAATGATAAGAATATGGATCCTCAACGGAAGGCCTTGTATGAATATTTTTCTGCTCTAATGGAACCATGGGATGGGCCTGCTCTTATATCATGTAATTTCTTTTGCTAATTCATTAGCTTGAAAGACTATTTAGAATTCAATCCCAGGGTTTAGGCTAATGCAAAACATTGCAGTTACTGATGGCCGCTACCTAGGAGCTACATTGGATCGTAATGGACTTCGTCCTGGCCGATTTTACATAACGCACAGTGGACGGGTTATCTTGGCCAGCGAAGTTGGTGTGATAGACATTCCACCTGAGGATGTTCTCAAGAAAGGAAGACTCAACCCTGGAATGATGCTTCTGGTAGATTTTGAAAAGCATGTTGTTGTGGATGACGAAGTTCTGAAGCAGCAGTATGCAATGGCAAAGCCCTATGATGAATGGCTTCAGAGGCAGAAGATTGAACTCGAGGACATACTTGATTCAGTTCAAGAATCAGAGAGGGTTGCTCCTGCAACAGCTGGTGCTGTGCATGTAAGTTCCGCAGTTAAATGGTGGTGGTTTTTTTTTCTTTTTTTTTTTTCTCTTCAGTTTTGAGGTCTTTTTTTTAATTGATGTTTAAATATTTTATCACTTAAAGGCATCTAATGATGACGATAACCCGGAGAACATGGGCATTTATGGTCTATCGGCACCATTGAAAGCTTTTGGGTATGTAAATATGTACTGATTTACTTTAGATTTTATTTATTGCCATCTTTACAAATATTTTGAAATGTGCTAATTCTGGTCTCCTTGTAGCTACACTGTTGAGGCCTTGGAAATGTTGCTGCTTCCTATGGCAAAAGATGGTACTGAGGCCCTTGGTTCTATGGGAAATGATACTCCTTTGGCAGTCATGTCCAACAGGGAGAAACTCTCTTTTGAGTACTTCAAACAAATGTTTGCTCAAGTGACAAACCCACCAATTGATCCTATCCGAGAGAAGATAGTCACTTCAATGGAATGCATGATTGGTCCAGAAGGGGATCTCACAGAAACTACTGAAGAACAATGCCATCGAATATCTTTGAAAGGACCTCTATTATCCATAGAAGAAATGGAAGCAATTAAAAAGATGAATTACAGAGGTTGGAGAAGTAAAGTTCTTGACATAACTTATTCAAAAGAACGTGGGAGAAAAGGGTTGGAGGAGACCTTGGATAGGATTTGTGCTGAAGCAGATAAAGCAATTAAGGAAGGTTATAAATTGTTGGTGCTTTCAGACAGAGGTATTCTTTGGCCCCAATTCTTCAAATAAAAGTTATTTTTAACACGTTACCTTGATGTGGGTTTATGTAGCTTAGTACTCCTATGTCCCATTCTCATGTTCTCTACCTGTTTAAAATGTGCAGCATTCTCTTCAGAGCGTGTTGCCGTAAGCTCCCTCTTGGCTGTTGGTGTTGTTCATCACCATCTTATTAAAAAACTTGAGCGCACTCGAGTAGGATTGATGATTGAATCTGGTGAACCACGTGAAGTGCACCATTTCTGTACTTTGATTGGATTTGGTGCAGATGCTATATGCCCGTACTTGGCTGTTGAAGCGATTTGGAGATTGCAGGTTGATGGTAAGATTCATCCAAAGGCTACTGCTGAGTTACACTCAAAGGATGAGCTGGTCAATAACTACTTAAAGGCAAGCAACTTTGGAATGATGAAGGTTCTTGCGAAAATGGGGATATCAACCTTAGCTTCATACAAGGGTGCTCAGATTTTCGAAGCCCTTGGCCTGTCATCAGAAGTGATAGATAAGTGCTTTGCAGGAACTCCAAGCAGAGTTGAAGGAGCAACATTTGAGATGTTAGCTCATGATGCTCTTCGTTTGCATGAGTTAGCATTTCCATCTCGGGCATTTCCTCCTGGAAGTGCAGAAGCAGTGGCACTGCTCAATCCTGGAGATTATCATTGGAGGAAAGATGGGGAAGTTCACCTGAATGATCCTCTTGCCATAGCGAAGTTGCAAGAAGCTGCCAGGAGTAATAGCGTGGTTGCTTACAAGGAGTACTCCAAACGAATTCAGGAATTGAACAAAACTTGCAATTTGCGTGGGCTTCTTAAATTTAAAGAGACAGATGTAAAAATCCCATTGGATGAGGTGGAACCAGCAAGCGAGATTGTCAAACGGTTTTGTACAGGGGCTATGAGTTATGGATCAATATCTCGAGAGGCACACGTGACTCTGGCTGAAGCCATGAATAGAATTGGAGGAAAATCAAATACAGGTATATTTATATGCAACAAAGGCAGTATTTCGTGCATCTATAGATATGCAATTGTATGTTCATATAACCGAAGTATATAATCTGACTGTCTTGTCAAACTTTATAAAGAGTAGTAAAATTTATGGAATAGTTCATGCTTTTCGCAATCTGAGATCTTTCGTTGGAAACAGTAGTTTTAATGTTTCCACCAGTTTTTCTGCATGTGCTTTCATTCCATCATTGAAAAAAATAAAATTTTCTTAATCTTCTAATTTATCTTTAACTTTGATTCTCTAGTTTGAGGGTTTAGCTGTTTCTATGACTGCTCTTCTTTTCATGATACTCTGTTCAAGCCCAGGTGGTGACTCTGTTCTCTCCCTCCCCCATTGTATAAGTGGCCTCTTTCTAAAGAGGAAAGAGCGCATGATGTATTTTAATTTAACCTCTCTTTTTTTTTTTTTGGGCTTAAGGTGAGGGAGGTGAGCAACCATATCGTATGGAACCTCTTCCTGATGGTTCAATGAACCCAAAAAGAAGTGCTATCAAGCAGGTTGCAAGTGGAAGATTTGGAGTGTCAATTTATTACCTTACCAATGCTGATGAACTGCAGATAAAGATAGCTCAGGTATTTGGTTATCATTGTTTAGTCTTGTGATGTCTTCACAAATTTTCTGTTTTGTCGTTTTGAACTTCAATTCCCATTTATCCCCTGTCATGGTATTGGGGTAGCAGATTATTATTGCTTTGTGTTAGTGGCAGATGAGGCTGTCTCTGCAAAGCATCTAAAGGAGCTTTTGCATCTTGAACTGTATTTAGGATTTGGTGAGGTTAAATATGAAGTCATTGTTTGTTTATGAATTGTTTGTTTCTTAGCTACAACTTCTTTGTTTCACAGGGTGCCAAGCCTGGTGAAGGAGGTGAACTTCCTGGCCATAAGGTTATTGGAGATATAGCAGTCACCAGAAATTCCACAGCTGGAGTGGGACTTATCAGTCCACCTCCGCATCATGATATCTACTCAATTGAAGACCTTGCACAATTAATTTATGATCTTAAGGTATGTGTATGTGATGCTTTGCCCACTAATTTTCCTTTTGTGCATGATGACAAGACATAGCAAGCTTCAATTTCTCTTTATCACTGTATTTGAATGTGTGTTTTTGTTGGTATGTGTGCCCATGCATGTCCAGTGTCACTGTGTGTGTTCTTTTTTCTTTTTTCTTCTTTTTGCCGCATTAGAGATTTGATCTTTGTTTCCTACGGGGCAAAATCTATCAAATCATTTTCCTTAACTCTCATACCTTTTTTTGGTTTTATTAGAATGCCAACCCATCTGCCAGAGTTAGTGTGAAGTTGGTCTCTGAAGCTGGTGTGGGAGTAATAGCAACTGGAGTTGTCAAGGGACATGCAGACCATGTCTTAATATCTGGTCATGATGGGGGCACAGGAGCTTCACGATGGACAGGAATAAAAAATGCTGGTCTTCCCTGGGAACTTGGTTTGGCTGAGACCCATCAAACCCTGGTTGCCAACAATCTTCGTGGTCGCACAGTTGTACAGACAGATGGCCAGTTAAAAACAGGAAGAGATGTAGTTATTGCTGCCCTTCTTGGTGCTGAAGAGTTTGGGTTCAGCACTGCCCCATTGATAACTCTTGGTTGCATCATGATGCGAAAATGCCACAAGAACACGTGTCCTGTTGGTATTGCCACTCAAGATCCAGTTCTTCGGGCAAAATTTGCTGGAGAACCTAAACATGTCATTAACTTTTTCTTTATGCTAGCTGAGGAAGTAAGAGAGATAATGTCTCAGCTCGGTTTCCGCACTCTTAATGAAATGGTTGGTCGTTCAGATATGCTTGAAGTTGATAGTGAAGTTGTTAACAGCAATGAGAAATTGAGAAACATTGATCTCTCCTTGCTGCTCAGACCTGCGGCTGACATTCGACCTGAAGCTGCTCAGTATTGCATTCAAAAACAAGATCATGGCTTGGACACAGCTTTGGATCAAAAGCTAATTAAGCTATCTAGTGCAGCCCTGAAGAAAGGTATTCCAGTATACATTAAAACATCCATATGCAATGTTAACCGTGCTGTTGGAACAATGCTTAGTCATGAAGTGACTAAGCGTTATCACCTGGCTGGGCTTCCTAAAGATACTATCCATATCAAATTCAAGGGAAGTGCTGGACAGAGCTTTGGAGCTTTCCTTTGCCCTGGCATTTTACTGGAGCTTGAAGGTGATAGTAATGACTATGTGGGAAAAGGTTTATCTGGTGGGAAAATTGTTGTATACCCTCCAAAGGAAAGTTGGTTTGATCCAAAAGAAAACATTGTGATTGGTAATGTAGCTCTGTATGGAGCCATAAGTGGGGAGGCATATTTCAATGGAATGGCAGCTGAAAGATTCTGTGTCCGTAATTCAGGAGTGAAAGCAGTTGTTGAAGGTGTCGGTGATCATGGATGTGAGTACATGACAGGTGGGACTGTTGCTGTGCTCGGAAAGACTGGCAGAAACTTTGCTGCGGGTATGAGTGGCGGTATTGCATATGTTCTTGATGTAGATGGGAAATTTCATTTACGATGCAATCCTGAGCTCGTGGATCTTGATAAAGTTGAAGAAGAAGATGATATAATGACACTCAAAATGATGATACAGCAACATCAGCGTCACACAAACAGCCAGTTAGCCAAGGAAGTACTTGCCAACTTTGAGGATCTTCTGCCCAAATTTATAAAAGTCTTCCCTAGGGATTACAAACGTGTTCTTGCAAAAATGAAAGAAGAAGATGATAAAGAAGACTTAATGGGAAAAGATGCCTTCGAAGAGCGCAAGAAGTTGGCAGCTGTATCCCTCAATAGGAAATCTAACAAGGTATTCATCGTTTCTAAGAATAAAGTTTTTTCCATTAAAAATATCTAGTGTGTAGGTTGATCTGCTTTACACCTTGTTCAAAACTTTTTACCTTTTCTCCTATTTTTTCCTGATGGTTGCGGAAAGAAGCTTGCTTGCTTATTTCTACTCTTGGCATATTTCTTGTGTTGAAACCTTATAGTTTGTAAGGTTCACTGGTCCTTTGCTTCTGTTCTATGGATCTACAACATACCTCTCTGGTCAAACTTACCTCCTTTTTTTTTTTTATGTGGTAATCATGGTTGTTGCTTTGGTCTGGTTTCAAAAATCTACTAATTTAAAAGTTGAAGTCTTAGATTATTAATATAGGAATTACAATATTAGAGAGAAATGCTGCTAGGAAATCAGAAGACCATTGTGTTCTTTTCAAGTTTCCTACATGCATCTTATTTGGAAGGATGCTAAGGTATGTTATGTTATTGATAGGAGCTTGAAGATGGCGCACACCTAAAGAGACCTACCCGAGTGTCTGATGCTGTAAAACATCGAGGTTTCATTGCTTATGAGCGTGAAGGTATTCAATACAGGGATCCTAATGCCAGGATGAATGACTGGAAGGAAGTTATGGAGGAATCAAAGCCTCGCCCTCTTTTGAAAACCCAGTCTGCTCGCTGCATGGACTGTGGGACTCCTTTTTGCCAACAGGTATCATCTATCCATCTTCCCTTGTTTCTCTCCTAAACCCTAATTTCAAGATACTAATTAAATGTTACTAAATGCAGGAGAACTCTGGATGCCCTCTTGGAAACAAGATACCAGAATTCAATGAGCTAGTGTACCAGAATAGGTGGCGTGAAGCGTTAGATCGTCTTCTAGAGACAAATAACTTCCCAGAGTTCACTGGACGAGTGTGTCCTGCACCTTGTGAAGGTTCTTGTGTCCTCGGTATTATTGAGAATCCTGTATCCATCAAAAGCATTGAATGTGCCATCATTGACAAAGCTTTTGAGGAAGGATGGATGTTACCGCGACCTCCTGCCAAGAGAACAGGGTATGCCTATAAGCTTTTAAGAAACTCGTTTTTTAAATGCAAAAAAAATTTCTGTTTGGATGTAACATTTTGAAAATAAATTTGCATGGACCAAGGGATCAATGGAAATCTCTGCTTTGTGGATCAAGGTTGGTGCCTCTTGGAAGTTAAAATTCTCTAAACAGAATCCTTTGCTATGTTTACAATTTGCAGGAAAAGGGTTGCTATTATTGGAAGTGGTCCGGCAGGTTTGGCTGCTGCTGATCAGCTAAATAGAATGGGTCACTCTGTGACTGTGTATGAACGTGCAGATAGAATTGGGGGGCTGATGATGTACGGAGTTCCCAACATGAAGGCTGACAAGGTGGATGTGGTTCAACGGCGGGTTAACCTTATGGCTGAAGAGGGAATTGAATTTGTGGTCAATGCTAATGTAGGAATTGATCCTTTGTACTCCCTTGAAAAGCTACGAGAGGAAAATAATGCCATTGTTTTGGCTGTAGGTGCTACAAAACCAAGGTAAGAAACTACTTTTGATAAACGAAAGTTTAATTTGCTAGGAATATAAATTATGCATCTTTAAAGAGTTGTGTAAAGTAAAAAGAAAGTAATGCCAATACCCTTTTTATAAACAAAAATTTATGACAATACTAATGAGTCAAAGTTTAAAAATTCATTGTAAGTTTGTAATATGAATTTGGTTAATTTAATGCAATTTTTATTTATTTGTTTCAGGGATCTTCCTGTACCTGGGCGGGAGTTATCTGGCGTCCATTTTGCAATGGAGTTCCTTCATGCAAACACCAAGAGCTTGCTTGACAGCAACCTTGAGGATGGAAATTACATATCTGCAAAGGGCAAGAAAGTAGTAGTCATTGGAGGCGGTGATACTGGAACAGATTGCATAGGGACTTCTATCCGACATGGGTGTAGAAGTGTTACTAATTTAGAGCTTCTTCCTCAACCTCCACAAACTAGGGCTCCAGGCAATCCTTGGCCGCAGGTTTGATAACTAGCCTTCCTTTCCTGATATGTGATTCATGTTTGAGTAAATGGTTTTACACTTTTGTTTCCAACCTGTCAGAGGAAATGGAGCATGTACAGCACCCCACTATTAACCGTGATAAAATCTTTCATTTTCTTTGATTTAAAAAATTATTCTTACCCGCATGATATGACTAAAATGTGTATTGTCAATTGATTATACTTAATGATGAATATTTGGATCAGTATAATAAATGGTAAAAAGAAGCTCTATTGCATTTACTTGATTTTTATTTTGCATATACTTGGTTTATATTTCTCATCTGACTCCTTTGGTTATGTTCTGTGATTGCAGTGGCCTCGTATATTCAGAGTAGATTATGGGCACCAGGAAGCCGCTGTGAAATTCGGAAAAGACCCAAGATCTTATAAGGTTTTGACAAAGAGGTTTATGGGAGATGAGAATGGGGTTGTGAAAGGACTAGAGGTGGTACGTGTGAAGTGGGAAAAAGATGCTAGTGGGAAGTTTCAATTCAAGGAAGTTGAGGGCTCTGAGGAAATAATTGAGGCCAACCTGGTATTGCTGGCTATGGGATTCCTTGGTCCTGAGTCGGTTAGTATACTGATTGCAGCTTCTTAATATCATGCTTTGAGTATCAAGGTTTTTAAGTTCTTCCTATAGAGCTAATGCTCTTTTCCCAGGCGGCCTAAGTAATGGTTTAATGATCTTTACATATTCATATCTACATGGTTGTGTGAAAGCATCCCTCACCAGATATCCTTTTCTGTTTGTTAACAGACGGTGGCGGATAAGTTGGGTGTGGATCGTGACAACCGTTCAAACTTTAAGGCTGATTACGGTCGCTTCTCAACCAATGTAGAAGGAGTTTTTGCAGCTGGAGATTGTCGGCGGGGTCAGTCACTGGTTGTGTGGGCAATCTCAGAAGGACGACAGGCTGCTGCACAAGTGGACAAATATCTAACTCCAGTTCCCAGCCAAGATGACAACATTCAAAATCGGCAAAATGTTATGCAGAGGCAGCAAACTGTCATGACATAGGTGACTTCAATTATCTTTTGTATACTTCCCAAACGGACTAGAAGATCGTTTTAAATTCAGTGAAACATGGATGATCACCAAGGCTATTATTACGTTGTTATTACCTTTCAATAAAGATTGCAACTAGGAGTTTAGTGAGGAATTAAGCTGAAATCGGGTTTTAGCATTTTTATTTAAGCATAGCTAGGTTGCTTTAAAGTTATTTAATTGATGAATTGAATTTAATTGAAAATGGTTTTCACAAATCTTCAATTCTGTTTTTCTTTTTTCACCCTTGCCCATGATTCTTAAATTCTTTCCTCACCTTTGTCACCTGAAGATTTTTGAGAAACCAGATTCTTTTATTGGCCTGCCTTGATTATTTTGGTAGGGGTTTTTTTTATTTTGTTTCGTAACTTCTTAACCTGAGTAGGGATACCCTTGTATTCCTTATAAATTAATTTGAATAATGATAGTTGAATTAAAATTTAAAAATAATGAAATGATATAAGTTATATCATTTAACAATTAAAAAATAAATTTTATATAGTTTAATAATTAATTATTTTTATTTTATTGAAATGTACAATATTATATGTATGAATTTATTTAATTATATGACATATGTTATATCTTTAGACTTAAATTTTGTTTCTTTATTTTCATTCTATGTATCATTACACAATTAAGTTTCTTTCTACAAATATTTATGGATTATTTATGTTTTTATTTATATTATTCTTAAAAA